CTGATGTTTATGGTATTGGTGAAACCGAATGTTAGTAACAAAAACTCTTTGAAGTTCCATGGTTGATTTTTAATTCCTAACGTGAGAAATAATTGGATTTTAACATTTAAAACAATAATCCGCTGTTTTATAACTTTCATTTTCACTACATTTGTGTTTGAAGACATTTCTTTTTCGAATTTGATTTCCGGTGAATTAATTAGTTTTACTTGTTAAATTGATTTTTTATTTTATTTAAAACAAATTACTAAAATCGTCCTTGTGGTTTAGTAAAATTTCGTATTTGGTCCCTAATGTTTTTTTCACACTCAGATTGTCCCTATAGTTTGATAAAATTTCGTGTTTGGTCCCTGCTCGTCTTAAAATGACCAAAATAGCCTTATTGATTATGTTAGTTATTTTCTTTATTCAAAAGTTATTAAAAAGAAATTGTTTAATTGTATGTGGATCCCATTGACATTGCCTCCGTCGACCCCAGTTTTCTCCTTCACCAAAACTTTGAGCCATCGACCCCTCACTAGCAAATCTGTCTCCCTCTTCTTGTTGGAAACCTCCACCGACAAACCTCACCCTCTCAACCCTTAACAACCATTGTCGAAATATGCTTGTTCATTGCCTAGAAAACTTGCATATGGTTATTGTATTGGATGTTGATTTCGTGCAAAAGGATTAATAATAGAAGAAGACCCTTACAACTGTGGTGATTTTTACCACTTTTTATTATTATTTCCCCCTGGTTGTTTGTTGATGAATATACAACATTAGTGATGAGGTATGTTGTATCGGACAAGGAGTCTAGGGTTTCTATGGTGCATACCATGCTAGGGATGTCTGACACAATTATTACATTACCTATAGTTAATTTTCGTCAGCTCATAAATCCACCACCAACTTTTAAACTTATACCAAATTAACAAACATATTCCAATAAATATTCAATACTATGTCTCTCTGGCAATTAATGATCGAAAATCAAAGGATATTTACCAACAATTTAATCCTTGAGATTCAATCATCCATAGCAAGTTTGTGCTTGTGATTCAATACTACGGTTCTCGCATGCCTATCAAAATTCATTCGAGTGTCTCTAACTGGCATGTTGTAAAACTCACATTGCCATGAAATAGAAAATGAATCCAAATATACATAAGATGCAAAGTCGCAATTAATATAGCACAATGTGCTAATATCAAAACACCGGGTGTGAGTAATCCAATAATCAACCAAAATAAACTTTCGGACAAAACTTTCATAAAATTGAATCTTGATCGTCAAGGTTTCTTTGACTTGTAGATTTTAACGGGAGGACATGTTAAACAATAAATACATGCACGATTTTACATTATGTACATTATAAACATCGGTTTCTTCCGGAAACCTAATTTTAAAATGAATATAATCAGCAGTATACATATTTATTATGATTTCATCATTAATCATACTTTTAACATTTAGTGAAACCATTAATTTTGTAGCCAAACATTATAATAAGTTTGCGCTAATTACACCATTTCATGTTGAAAGGCTAAACCATGAATATGGTATACTCAACCTGGAATAATTACAATGTCAAATTATAAAAAATATTCTCACTTAAACAAGAAAGAAAAATGTAGCAAATGTTTTTCCAAAAAAATAAATAAAATAAGGAGTACTGTTGCCATTACCAAAAGATTTCTAGTCTAACAGTAGCAGGTCTTGCCTTCCCTACTTTAGGTCGACAGTTCAAGTGCGGTCACACATGTTGAACTAAGAGTAGTTTATTCATCAACTAAAAAATCAAGTACCACTTTATTCATCAAGCAACAAAAGTGTCATTTTGCAGAACCGTTGGACTCTATGTGAAGATATCTACAATTAATAGTAGGGGAGGTTAATGCAAATCACCAACGCTAGAGATCCGGGTTATAGGGTTACGCCCACACATTTCTTAACCACTATATATACGATGTTCAGTTTCATTTCAATACAATTTCACAGCCGCTTTCATGATCGACCCTGTCAATCTAGATCACAATCGTTTCTTACATATCTTACAATCATGCATTGTTTTCATTAAGTTATCGATTCTTGTATTTTTTCGGTCATGATAATCACCAACAGTTTTATGTGTCGATTTTTTTTCTTTATCATTTACAATAGATCCAAAAACTGCTAGTAAAGATCCACCATATATATTTTGGTGTTTCCAAGATTGTGTTGTTCGCCAGTCAGTCACATTATACATTGATCTGTATTCTGTTGTCAGCCTAGTAGAATCAGATCGGTATCAGTTAGGTGTTCATAATATTTCAAGAGTTGCAGATGAATACTGTTTGGAGATTATGGAGATCCTGACGGAAGTTGCAGATCTGATCTGTAGTTCTGTACATGCTTATTGCTTAAATATCACTAAAGATGCAGATATGTGGGGATCGAGTATTAGATCTACTAAAAGCAAAAAAAATCTGACAGAGATTTTAGTTTTAGTGATTTTACTTTTTGAACTCATAGCTTTTTCAATAAGTTTTTTGTATCACAAACCAAAGAAGTTAACTAATCTTCATTCTAATAAACAGGATGAATTGGATGGTTGAGAAGAATCCAGAGATGATGGGACAAAACTTTTGTATGTTTTGTATGTTTCAGTAGCCTAGCGTAAAGAAGAAAGAATGGCTCCCCTGTAAGTAACCTTATATGACAATGATTTCTTGATTTCTTCAAGACCTATAAGCAGTCAATCGAACGAATCTTCCATGAAGCTGCTACACCAATTTCAACATTAACTTTAAGACCTGAAAGAACCCTCACAACATCTGAGTTTATAGCAAGAAACTTCGCCTTATGAAGCAGTTTGAAAGCCTTGATCACCAATTCAACAAGCTCTCACTACTAGAAAAAAGGTTTTCCTTGACAGACAATGTCTGTCATAAATGCCTATATATGACAGACAAATGTTTGTCATTGAAAGCCATGTCATAAAGGGAAATGACAGACATTAGGTCTGTCATAAAGTTTACGACAGACTTTTATGACCAACACTTACGACATACATACACGACATGCATTTTCGACATACATTTACAACTGACTTTGTTTGTCATAATTCGTAACATTTTTGTATTTATGACAGACATTTACGACTTCAAATTACGACATGTTTTGTACAATATGATTTTGACATATTTTTACGACATGCTTTGTATGTCATGGTTTTATAGTTTTTTTAAATTATATATATATATATATATATATATATATATATATATATATTCTATCAAATCTTAATGGAACTAAATTACAAATTTATTGAATAAATTACACAAACTATAGTGTCAAATTCAAAAATACATTCCAAATTCATCAAAAAGTAATTGTCAAATACATATCACTTGTAAATTAAGTTTATGACATAAGTATCCCATTTTTCACGCACCCTATCAAGCTCGACATCTGTATATTCATTCTTCCCCCAAAACTATATAAAAACAATTGAACTCAAAACTAAAATATTCAGTAAATACCTTCCAAAAGCCTCCCCATCAAAACCTGTAATTAAAAAAACACTAGAATCTTTTAATAGAAACTTGAATTAATAGAAACAAATTTAGTATATGCATGTTATTGTACACACCTTCCACCAACAATAAGATGTAGAGCCCTTAAAAGCCATGATTTATCTTTGTAAAGCTCCCCTGCCCGGTAAATTTGGAATCTGAAGGGCAAAAATGGAATTAGCATCAGTGGAGAAGAAGATAACCCTGGATTAAGAAAAGAGATTAAGATTAAATAAAGTTTTAACCATTAGCAATATTAAAACTTTATTTTTCTCTCTCTCTCTCTCTCTCTCTCTCTCTCTATATATATATATATATATATATATATATATATAGATATATATATATATATATATATATATATATATATATATATATATATATATATATATATATATATATGAGAGAAAGAGAGAGGATGTAACTGAAAATTTATTTCAGTACAGAAGTCAAATAACAAAAAATAAACAAATGGCAAAGTTGAAAGCTTACATAGACCAATATGAGACAGGTTAAGACCTTACCTTACAAACTGGTTAGGGATATCTAATCACAGATTAAGTATTGTACTTGAACTGCCAAAAGAACAATTGAAATCTTGGTTGGTCAGAGTTGAAATCATCACGCAATATGCAATCTTATCGATAATAAAAGAAAAACCCAATACACTAATTCACAATTTTAGAAGGCTTAAAGGCAGTTCTAGAAGCGCCTTCAGCTATCAGACATGAAATTCTGCTAATAATGTGTAGGTCCATGTTTATATTAAAGAAGAAACAACTTAACAAAGGCTTATTTTAACCGGTCTACATGCTCTAAATCTGCAAGTCTTTCTAAATCTGTAGGATGAAGATTCCATTCCGTAAATATCAGGTTTTTTTTATTTTCCGCAAATTATTAATTAAATTTGCTTCCTAATGGAAAATAAACAATCATTGATATTATTTCCATTTAAAATCTAGTACCCTGCTGGCACACAAGAAGTTCCTTTGACAATGTCAGACAATTTTTAAACCACTGCAACTACTGGTGCTCAAGTTGGGTATAAAAGGAGTGCTTACATGGGAAGCTGTAGACATGATTTATGGCAAGCTATAAGAGCATCATCTGCTACTCCATATTATCTTGATGATTACTCTGATGGTATAAACCCTAAACCCTGAACTTATAATTGTAATATCTAGTTGAGTAACTTATAAAAATATAAAAAATCTGACATTTTTCATTTATGTATATCATCTACCTTGTCCAGGTGTATTTAGGTGGCAAGATGGTGCTATTGTGGCAAATAACCCTACAATATTTGCAATACGTGAAGCACAACTTCTATGGCCAGATGCAAAATTTGACACTCTTGTTTCAATTGGTTGTTGTTTAAAATTTAAAACTGACCTCATCAACATAGGGCCAGATCTTTGTAAGATGAGCATTAAGCATGGTCAACTGAAAGATTAAGCAGAATAATCAGTCCCTGAAGAAGATAGAAAGAAAGTGGAGAGAAAGTACAAAAGTAGGAAGAATGTAGGGTAGAAAAGTATCACTCAACTTCTGTCTCTGTGAGAAAATAACCCAAGAAGGGTAGAATTCTGGTAAAAGCAACTTTTTTGAATCTTCAACTGTCATTCTCGCAAAAGCGGCAATCGTTGTTGCCTTCAACACATAATTTAACCTAAATTTCAATAAATTCACGAATATTCAGAGCATACACTCAATTCAAATCATGTTTTAGGTCACACATTAAGGAAGATGCATATTGTGTGTTGTTAAATCAAACAATTCACACAAACTATTACACATAATAGAGACTGGAGTGTTTGTGTTGTGTGTAATCCAAATCCTTTTGAGCTGACTCATAGACAGATGCAGATGGTGTAAATATTGTTCACAGCAGCAGGCCAGCGGCGGCTGGGATGCCCGGGATTAAGGTGGCGGCTGAAAGAGTGTTGTAGAGTTAGGGTTTTCGGGTGTTGCACTCTAAAAACGGGAGGGGTAAGGAATCACGGGTTCAAGTCCGTGTTTTACCAAACTTGGATGTATTTTAACAAGATTGGTCCCTGCCTCTACAATTCCTTTACAATTTAAACCCAATAATTACTAATAACCTTCGCTTCACAAAATCTTTTACATTTCAAGTCCTAATATTACAATATAGACCCCAAATTCTGGAAATTATACCATTTAACTTCTTATGGCTAAAGCTGATAAATTATTACGGATTTAAGGCTAAAATAAAATAAAATATAAAATATATCTTGGGGTTTTAGGGTTCATTATTTATTTATTTATCTATTTTATTTTATTCATTTTATTTCATTTATTTTATTTTATTTATTTTATTTTAAAATAGAATGTTACACAATCAGGTGCCAGAACTTAACATCAACTGTCGTCCGGCGTCCGAAAGTATCAGATCTACGGCAGTGGATATGTGGTTATGAAACTCAATCAAATAAGGATCGATTAGGATATCAAATTGTTGGATAGAGTAAATGGAGGATTCATTCGTATAATTAGGGTATGTGGTTTAGGGTCGACCCATTTAGTGGAATTTGGATATCTGGTTTAGGCGACCCATTTAGGATTTTTTATTGCCACATAAGTTTTTATATTGCCAATATTAAAAAAGGCAGGGAGTGGTTGTGAGAGAAATTTAATAGGTTTTGTTTTGAAAAATAAATAAATAAATAAATAAAAACAACCCCAACCAAACACAGTCAATCTTTTCCTTCTCTTTGTTCTCGCTATTACAATTGCGATTCGTCACTGGTGAGTCCCTTAGCGACTTATACGAGATGGTGTAAATATTGGTAGTGAGTGTTTGACGAGAGGGGTGGCAACTGTAGGCTAATACTGCAAATTAACAAAAAGTGATGCTCTTAGTAGGTAATACTTTAAAAAAACGCACACTTATTTCATTTAAAATTAGGTGTTTTGCTAGCTATTATCATGCATAATTTTTTTTCATAGTATATAGTGCTCATGTACTTGTTGACATAGCATTATTGTATTATTGTTTGCGATTACTAACTTTTCCTTATAGTATTAACGGATAAAAATCATTTTAATTTACTCTTTAAAATATGACATAAAATTACGACATACATTTTTGACTGTCGTAAATCATTGATATTTTATGATATATGACATAAATTTTATGACAGACTTTTATGCCTGTCATAAAAGTGTTGTATGGCGTAATTCGTCTGTCAAGGAAAGCCTTTTTTTCTAGTAGTGTCTGGTTGCTTCTGATACGGGTACGGCTACGGCTCCCTAATGTGATAGTTTGTAACGAATCAAGATCTGTGGCTGATAATGAAAAGCGGGCCATACCATAGTAAGTGAAAGACGAAATATTTGGTGTTGAGAGTATAAACTCATAATTGTGATTAAGATCTATCAGACTCAGATTCTGTAATGAATTTGATGTGACGATTGGAATTTACCAACGAGGCAGCGATCGGTTTAGGCTTGTACTTGTAGGGTTATATCGTTTAGTATAACCTATTACTCCATTAGCCTTTTTGGACTTAAAAAGCCCATGCAAAACCAAAAAAAATGAAACTTTGAGGAAACTTAACATAAACGTTTCTGGATTTCCCGATATGTCCCGGAAACGTTTACCAGCCGTTTCCTAGGCGTTTCTGTTTCCCCCACGCTTCAGATAAACCGTGAAATCAATAATCATGAACTTTTGTTATAAGAGAGGCCAACTTGGACTTCATATCGGGATACATCAATTAGTTTGATCGATTAAAAAAGCCTAAGTACAAAACATCTACTAGAAAAGCTTTATACTTGTCTTTGCTGATAAAAGTATCAGATATAGTGTTCTTTGCGTGCAGGGTGGATTAATATTTGTTTAAAACCTGTTTTATTTTCTGTCAGGGTATTTGTATGAGTATAAATATATATCAAAATGTGTATCTGTATGTGTATGTATATGAATTTGAATACGTTAAGATCCTATAAACATATTTCACATTACTCATAATCTATTCTAATGAGATGCAAGCACACGTTTCATAAAGGAACAGCATTTCAAATGTATTAACCTTTCAATACTTTCCCATATTAGAAAATGCCAGTCCGGACTTTGTAGATGGAAAAAATTTCACATCTACTGAGACATTGAATATGCTCAATATGTCTCAAAAAATATAAGTGGGTATTATTTATATTATGTTATTTAAACAAAATGGTGTTTTTTAAAAAACAAAGCTAGTGAGAGGCTAGAGTTACAAGTAGTTGAGGCAATCTTTGCAAGTATTAGTAGAGCAGATTAACTAACAAAACTATTCATCTTTTCTAGCCATAATACTTAACCAACCGAAGGTTGGATGTCACCTACTAACTCTTTGCTGCTCCTGGATTTCCAACTGAGGACAACTGAAGACAACCTCGTTGCCATATCTACATTATCCAGAACAGGGCCATCAAACAGAGCCATCAGAGTAGAGGTTGTCCAACCTCAAAAACAAATCCGTGATGGACACACTAGTAATAGGGATGTCCCTCCACAAATAAAGCAAAATCAAACTGACCTCAATGATTTTAGGGTAGTCCAGAAATAACTGTGATTCAGATTCATTGCTAGCCGTACAGAGGACGCATATAGGTGATTGCAAAGGGATCCCAATTCTATGGAGGTTAAATCTAGTGTATAGATGACCAAGCCTAACACACAAATTAAGATGTTTGCCTTGGCAGATTCAATGTGATTCCAAATAGTATTGCAAGTATTACTTTTTAACAGAACGTCATCATTTATGGACCTGATGCAAGACGCCGAGAAATTGCCGCCGAGATATTGCCATCCTTGATTTCAATCCATCTGGACCTATTGTCTTTGATAGAAAACATGGAAAGAAGGTTCAAATTCAAATAATTAAAATCATTGTGAAGATGAAAGATTTTCCCGAAATGCCACTTTTACAAACCATCAATCGGTCTCTCTCTAGAGTGCCATTATAATTTTTTTTTTCTAATAGACCATTAGTCAGCATAGAACCGTCACCGTCATTTTGCTAATAAAGCGAGATTAAATGCTCGTACTCTGCCAATGTTGAAACCACATTTTTCGTTGGTATCTAAAACATTTTCCCTAGACAATTAATTTTTTTATTGTACCCGAACCGACCCAATAGAATTTATTCCGGATGCTCTCAGTCTTTTTGACGACTTCATTTGGCACCTTGAAAAGAGAGAAAAATATTCTATTATCCAAATTTTGTAGTCATTCATACTTTTAGAACTAGGTAGTGAATCAAGACTGTCATGAATTGTTTATAGATTGTCTATGGAGATTAGGCATTGCACAGGGATTGCTACAATATTCATGAGTACTTGGAAAATGGGGATTTTAAGTATCGGATAAATCAACGCTTAACACCCGGAATCTTGAGGAGCAACTATAAGGAATGAATCCCATTTTGAGGACTGGACATGGCGTGTTGGAGAAACAAACACAACGTGTCTAGTTGAGGAAAAGTGTGGTTCTCATTAACGTGTCTAAACACGACGTGGAGGAAGATGGGAAGGAAACCCTAATTTTTAGGATGTTGCACCTTATATAATCTCTTTAAGCCCCAAGAGCTGGTCTCCTTACCATCCTCCATTGACACTAAAACCCTAAAATTGATCTTTAAGTCTCTTGGTTGTGTTCTTGAGCTATTAAGAGATTCCTAGTGCTCATTGTTGATCCTTGTGAAGGAGGACAAGATCTTGAAGTTGCTTGTTTGGGGAAAAGACTTTGGATCCAGAATCATCATATTTTGAGGAAGTTTTCTGAGGTATCAAGTTTGCATCTTGGCTTTTAGGTGTTTAGATCTCTCCATTTTGTGCTTTGTTGTGCTTTTGGTCCCCTTTTTTGGGTTAATGAGAGTGTGAAGTCGTTTAAGGGCTTGTTATTCCAGATCTGAGTTTGTTTTGGTCCCGTTGAGCATAAAGGTGCAAACTTTATGAGATTTATGGTGTCATGCATGCCTTAAGTCAATTATTAAGTCCCTTTTAAGCTTAAGAGTTTCATTTAGGCATGCATAAACGTAAAGTTGGCAACTTTACGTGGTTTTCCAGCTCAAGGAAGTTAGATCCGTGTTTTAGGGTTATGTCTTCAAGAATTAAGTCCTTATTGGTTAAGCCCTTGCTATATCAAGCCTTTTTGGTTGGGTTTGGACCCTTTTTGGTAATCCCTGTGGGTAAAGATGGAAACTTTACCCTTCTAAGTCTCATTTTGGTCTAGATCTGAGCTTTAGAGCTCTTGAAATCGGAGATACTAGCTTAATGTATTAAGTTGTTGAATCTCGGGAAAACACGGCGTGTTTGCAAGCCAACAAGGCGTGTTGGCTGGGGATTTCCCGATTATCTGGATGAGGGAGGAACACGACGTGTTTAAGGGGAAACACCGCATGTTTGGTTAACATGGGCTGTTGACTTTGACTTTGACTAGAAGTTTGATAAAGGTTGACCATGGGTTATTTTGGGGCTTGGGTGTTTATTTGGAATTGGGCTTTTGGATTGTTGAATGAGGCTTTGGTTTTGGGCCATGTTATGAAAAGGGCTTTGGTCTTTTACCCTGCTTTGGACACTTAGTGTGGGTCGGATCCAATTATTGATGGATGTTTAACGTGTGATTGATAGCGCGAGAATTCTTGCGGGTAGCAGCCAAAGATTCTTTCTGTGTGATTCGGCAATGCGAGGTGAGTCTCCTCACTATGTTTAGTGGGTCGAAGGTACCAATACGGCCCATGGCTTGCTACGTAGAGTGCTAGATGTCTGTGTGACTCTTGCATGTGTGTGTGTTTTGTATGCTTACTGGGCGGGGCCCAATAGTTGTTCTGTATGCTAGTTTCAGGTTATGCATATATGATTTGTATGTGGACGGGGCCCGATGATTGTACAATATGCTACTATCTTTGTGATTTCCGCATGTGTTTGAATGTTATATGATTATATGGTTATATGCTTAGTGGGCGGGTCCCGTTATACGAGTATGGGCGGGGCCCGTATCTCATTGTCATGCGAGTGTGGGCGGGGCTCGTATATCATTGTTATCCGAGTGTGGGCCGGGCTCGTATCTCATTGGGCAGGGCCCGTATCTCCTTGGGAGGGGGCCGTTATTTGAGTGTGGGCGGGGCCCGTTATATGATTTGTATGGTATGAGGTATCTTGGGGAACTCACTAAGCTTTGTGCGTATGGTTTTCAATTTGTGTTTCAAGTACTTTTGTTTTCAAACGGATGAGCTCGGGATGATTGCAGAGCACACAACACATGTTTCCGCACTCTGTGATTTACTCTGATTCGATGATGTTTTGCTAAATCTTGATTACCTTGGGTTATGGAAATGATATGTATTAACGATTTATTAATCTAAAAATGAAAATTTTATGTCATCATTTATGGGATGTTTCATAGGGATTACTTCATGGATTTTATCACGAGTAATTCTAAGATGATAATATCTATTATTCTTCAAGCGAAGATATATAGTTCATAGTTCGTGAATCATTTGTGCATTGCTTTGCTCAAACGCATCTCGTAACAGGATGTTATAAAGAGTAATTTCATGAATGATTTGGTAAGTGAAGTGTATTACTATATAGTCAAAGTAATTCGTTGATTTTACCCTAACATGAAAAGCGATATCTTTGGGCCCCTTGATGATTTGATGTTGACATTATAGTGTTGGTCCCAACAGGGACTAAATTGATGTGTTCAATTGGTAGTCTGATGATGTCATCATAAATCAGATATTGGAAACAAAATCTTGAGGTCAATTAGAATTAATTTAAAGTGCAAGAGTTACTTTGTAATTGCTTAATAGTTAAGCAAAGGAGAGGTTCTAGAAACCTCTTCATATGGACAGTTTTTGGATGCCTTGTAAGGCAATCCAGAATGTTCCATTTAATAAAAGGAAAGCAGATAATTACTATGATTTGAAATAATATTATTTTACGTTTAAATCTAGGGTTTTTGGATTTTCTTAGCAGCTATATATAAGGGTTGTTGACTAGAAAATTTCATCCACTTCTTTGAAGATTACCTTAGCCGAAAATTTGATCCCCTCTACTCTCTCCTTTCTTGTTGTTCTAATTCCTACCTTTGGGTATGGGCCATTAGAGGTATCATCCATTTGGTGCTAGCTTTATGAAGGTCTACAAGGGAAGGAATCAAATGAATTGTTTGCAATAACAATTCAAAGGAATGTAAACCTAAACCTATGAATTTCGATTATAGTAGGTTTCTTCTAGGGTTTGTAGTTCATAGTATGTTACCTTAATGGGAAGACATAGATCCATAATAGGTTGCATGCATCCTTAATCGTTAAGTGTAATTTTACGCTATGTACATTAATTTTTATAACCTATAGAACTCATCAACATCATGAATACCTGGTCGGGTCCTGATTGATATTGATGTGTTCAACTTAGTAATTAGATGCAATCGTCATAAATCTTTATCGGGAAACGTAATATTAAATATTGAGATTGACCATTATCTATGTCTCAGATTCATACATACATCATGATAATGAAGGAATAACTGCTCACTTATCTGAGGGTTGAAACTGATTTGATCAAAGTTTGACAGATGCATTGGATGGCATTCTCTCTGTTGATTATTACAAAAGTATTAGACCATCTATAGTTGATGACCTGTCAAATTGGTAGACTGTTGGAAAGTTTCTCCAAGGTCATTAACTACTGTTGATATCTCTAATAATAGCAGGGTCTACTTGAGTTCCCTTCAATACTCAAATCACATAGAATCAATAAAAGGGGAATTGCTTTATTAGTTATTATGGTTTAATAATTAATTAGAAACTAATTAGAAAATATTATGGGAATTAATTAATAGTTTAATTAATTAAAGGGTTGAATAACAATTTATCGATAGTTTATTAATCCGAAATATTATAGAACCTGTGGTGGACAGTATTCCCATTAGAATTAAAACGAATTACATTTTAGGGGTATCTCATCCTACATGGGTGGAAGGATAAAACTGATGGGTTTTATGCAAAACAAATAAAAAATATAAGTGTGCATGCAACCTTAGAATAAGATTTATGTTTTCTCTAATTGAATATACAACTATGAACATCAAATAAGAAACCCTAGGATACCTAGCATATTTTCGAAAATATGATTAGGGTTAAGAGAAACATACCTTGATTGTTATTGACAAATAACAAAGATCCTTGTGTTGTTGAAAGCCTTGAGAGCAAGCACCACAAATGTCGTGCCTTTAGTGGTTCACACCAAACACTAGCAATAGGATGAATATGGAGAGAGGAGAGGGGAAGATAAGTGTAACATCCATAAAATTCAAGCCAATTTCAAAATTTTTAAAACATTCAAAAACCAATAATTATTACAAATTGTTTTCAAAACAGTTCCATGTCAGAGTATCCCAGAAATCAAATCATAAAAACATAAGGAGGTGCACGA